GCATACTGTTGTTCGTAACACTCTCCCATAATCCTTTTGATTTTGTGAGGTTGATTGTACTTTTTCTTTATTCGTGACTTTAGTAATTTGAGTTTTTTTTTTTTTTAGTTTAGCTATTCTAACAGTTTGTAAAATAACTACTTATAAAGAACCACATGTAAAATATCATGATTTTTCTCTTGTTGCATTCAAAATTGTGCTTGTTTTCACTCTAATCTTTATTTCCTTCTTCCTGTTTGCTTTGTTCTAATCCATGTTAGATTTCTTTAAAAAATTCTTTACTCATTTACTTGAAAGGCAGAGTGACAGAAGAACAGATAGAGATCCTCCACCTGCCAGTGCACTTCCTAAATGGCCATAACGGCTGTGTCTGCATCAGGATCAAGCCTTTGTTCACAAAAAAAAGATATTGAACAGTGTGCCATTTCATTGCTTGGCTCTGGCTGTTACTGTAGTCTTTTGAGTTATTTTCTGTGTGATTGCCCTAGGCCTTAGAAATGGTATCTTTAATTTAAAAAAAAAAACTAAATCAAATCGTCACTAATCTAATTTCAACAGTACAGCTGTCTTCCCTCTTCCACTGTGTGAAGACATTAAACTAACAAGAACTCTGGAAGGAAGCCCTCAGAAACACTGAATCTGCTAGTACTTTGGACTTCCAAGCCTCCAGAACTGGGAATAATAAAGTTCTATTGCTAATAAATCTCCCAGTCTGCAGTATTTTGTTACATAATCTGAATACACAAAGACACTGGCCAATACTGATGTAGGCAAGGAAGAAGCCAGCAAGGAACAGTGGTTATTAGCAGCCTCTTTCCGCAGCCCTGTGTTCTGCTGCAACCTCCTCTCCTCTTCACTCACTTCTATGCAGCGGGAACTTGCAGTTTCTTAAAAGCAGCAATGGCCCCAAACAACCAATATGCCTGCCAGTTGCATCCCCATGATGACCTTTTACTATAATATTACAACAAACTCACCATTACTGACACTTATTCCCATCATGGCACCTGATGCCATTGACACTTCCAAGATTTCCACAAAAGGGCAAGGAAATGGGAACAACTCAAATCCTACCATAAAACTGCCCCCTGTGAGCATTCAACTACACCCCATCTCAGACACCACGTCTAGGCCTCTAGAGGCTGACCCGTGCTGAGTCACGAGCTAGCTCACTCACGAGCATGCCCATCTCCCTTTCAAACATGTTTTTTTGCTTTGCATGCAAATAAGTCTCATTCTCTGATAAACTGGAATTCTGTTTTGACCCAGCTGTTCCCTAACAGAAACATAACTCTATATGGGGATATTAAACAAGGGATTAAGGAGTGAATTAATTTTCATGCTGAATATTAATATTACTGAAGATAGACTAGAAAAAAAGAGACGTATATTTACATAGCATAGATTTGGTAGAAATTTTCACAGTAGATAAGGTTTCTTGGAAAATGAATGAAAAGGGGCCAGCATCATTACCCACTGGGCTAAGCCATTGCCTGTGACTCTTCTGGCATGTTATATCAGAGATTCTGGTTGCTCTCTTTCTAACCCATTTCCCCAAAAAGTAACAGATAATGGCCCATGAGCTTAGGCATTTGACATTCACGAAAATGAGTTTCTGGGTTACCTGGTTGTTGAAGCCATTTGGGCTCTGGTGGGTTATAGAAAATCTCTCTCATCTACCTTTCCCTCTTTCTTTATCAGTTTGTTATTCAAGTATATCTTTTTAAAAAAAGGAAAACGAATCACAAGCAAGGGAAAACAGAAGAGATCATCACTGGGACCTTGGACAGATGCAAAGCCAGTGAGGACCATGACCTCACTGCCTTCTTCATATTCATCACCTCTCTTTGTTCCTCTGTATAGACTTGGGAATCAATCTGACAAAAAGTATCTCTATTCTCTGGTTGAAGGAGAGGCAACCTGCTCCAGCGATATGGCATCTCAGGCTGCCTTGACAAGGTCATCGCCAACAGACAAGGGTCTGTTAGAGCATTAAAACTTTAGGTGTGGTGGCTCCACAAGCTCACCAAATCCTCAGGTTTTTATCACTCTGTGTTCCAGCTGCAGCTGGTAGCCATTTTCAGAAAAGCCAGAGGAACAAAGTTCACCATGGAGGAAGTATAGAGACTGACAACTTTGAATTCAGTCCCTCTATCAGGCTTCCAGTGACGTGAATGCTAAGCTTGGTTGTTGAAAGCCTTAGCAATGGCCTCTGAAATAAAATCTTAGTTCTCAGTGCGGTGCTATTGGAAGGAGGTGAACCCTTTATGTGGAGCTTCTTAGGTCCATGGGAGTACCTTTATCAAAAGGCAGTTCTTATGAAGCCCCTTGAGTTCTTGCCAGGTGATGGTTGTAAAAGCCCGAGCCTGACACCAACCTTCGGTGCTTCCTGAATTGTCATATGATCCTTCCTCTGGGCACATGCCATCATCGCTGTGCATCATCTGCCATCTGTCATGGGCCAGCTGCCAGCCCCCTGCAATCTGCCTGGGCCTCTTGCATCATGTCTTTGGGACACTGAACCTCCAAACATGCGAGCTACATACATCTTTTTCCTTCATAAGCAGCTTGTGTCAGGTATTTCACTGTAGTATTGGGAAACTGAATAACATACAGTAAATCATAAAATTCTTTGGTACTTTAGCCATACTTAAGTTACAGTTCTGTTATTTGGGGTTGAAAGATTCCTAAATGCTATAGTACAGAAAAACTTGTAAAAGAAACACACATGAAAGAAAGAAACACAAGAAAGGGAGACTGAATGATGGCAGAAAACCAGAAGTGCTTAATGTAATCAGATTGCAGGGAGGATGGAACTTTACAAAGAATCACCAATACGGCTAAATGCAGCAGATTTACCATGGGACATGCTGTTTCTAAACCATTTCTGTCTTGGAGATGGAACAACTTTAACTCAATCTGCATTGTCACCATCCCATTGTTTTCTGATATATAAAATATTCAAATGCCAACTGATGGCAACCTACTCTGCAACTGGATTATGATAATTATAAAGTACATTTTTATGATGAAGTACAGCATGTAGTGATCCAAGACCTATTGAAATCACATTAAAATGACTCTTTTCCCCAATAGACTAAATTATCAGTAAAGTTAAGCCCTGAAGATCTATTTTATTCAAGTTATTTTTTTTTCTTTTCCATTGGGAGTTCTGCTTTCATTTGGGAGCAGGAATGTGCAAGATACAATGTATCTTTACACCCCAGTAAGCTAGACTTCATTATACAGTTCATCTATGAAAATATATGTTAATTATCCTATATCTATCCATTTTATACTTTGCATGAAGGGTGTCTTATATCAGAAAGGATATGTAATATCTGTCCTTTTGTTATTCTTTACAAAAAATATATGAAAAAAGGTAAACATATACCTAAGGGAAGAAAGATTAATATAAGCTTTCACAGATCCATCACCACATTCTAGAATCATCAAAAGTCTGTCTCTCTTGCTCTTCCTATCCCCCTTCTCTCACAGTAACATCAAATGTTTGAAAGAACAATAATATAGTCATAGATGCTCTTCTGTAAACCATATACAAGTGGTACTTAATCCAGAGGCCACAATGTAGAAACCCATCTAACCAATGTAATATGACATCTTAATATTTTGAGTAGAAAAGAACATTACTGAAGTATGAGATACTTACGCATATCAATTGATTAATGAAATTAAGGGGAAAAGAGATTAGAAAGTAAAAGTAAACTGTCCCTTACTCTACACACAAATCACAGAATAGAAGATCTTCAAAGTTCAGATTTTATCTACCAACATCTTTCATAAAGATGCTGCATATCTGTTATTACACTTTCTAGAATATTTACGTTTTTTTTCTATTCAGGAAAGTGGTTCTCAAAGTGTGGTGTAGGAATACTTGGGGGTTTTCCAGACCCTAAAAGGGAATCCGAGACACCAAAATGATTTTCTTAATAATACAAAAATAATGTATACTTTTCATGCCCACTAATTCACAGACACACTGAGGAGCTTTACAGAGGCTAAATGACTGATAAAAGCTTGCCTTAATAGGCTTCACATGAAGTAAATGTGATAACCGCCCCCCCATTTTCTATTAAATCAGATATTAAAATATTTATTAAAATATAACTATAATATTCTTACAATTTTTTTTCTCAAAATGTAATTATTACCCCCTATTATAGTACCTTGGCTTGAATCCTGGCTCTCATCCTGATTCTAATTTCCTGCTAATGTGTGACTTGGAGGGTGACATTTGAAGGATCAAATATTTATGTCCTGGCCCCCCATGTGAGAGACTGGACTGAGTTCCCAGTTCCTGCTTTTGGCCTGCCTCTGTTCTGTTTGAGCAGGCATTTGGGGAGCAACCCTTTAGGTGAGAGATTTCTCTCTCTCTCTCTCTCAAATACATAAAATTGATAAAATTTTGAAAATCATTTCTATTAACATCTAATAGAGTCATGCTATGTTTACAGAATAAATATGATGTTTTCTTTCAGTTTTAATCTGTATATAAACAAATAAAATTCCGTAGGGTACTCAAGGTTCATTTCTCATATTTTTTTCGTGGCCAAAGCCAGGAGCTGGAACTCAATCGAGGAGCTTTGTGGATGGCAGGAGCCCAGCTACTTGAGCCATCACCATTGCTTCACAGTCTGCATTGGCATGAAACTGGAATTGGGAGACAGCTTAGCTTGGGTATGAAATATGGGCTTCTCAATCAGTGCCATAATTGCTGGGCTAAATGCCTGTCCTGTTCAATAATTTTTAAGAGTTTAATAAAGGGATACAGAATCCAATCCGTTCAAGAGTCAGATAACTTACCTTCTTCATTATTTAAATGAAACTTTGGCTAGTGGGATAACAAAATCCTTTCCCTAGGACTGCTTGTAAATGTCCCTGGAAATAAAAGCCCCGACATTGCATTCCATGACTTTCTCTTACCCTGAGGCAGATCTAAGCAGAGATGAGGTACAGATGATGTCCAAGCTAACACTTACCTTTACTAACTCTGTGTAGCCTGTTTCTTTTGGGGTCCACCAGGGCTGAGCTTTTAGTCCATTCACATTATAGAGTGAGCGCTGCCACACAGATGCAAAGTGTCCTCTCTTGTACCCAAGCTCGTACCACTTATATGCCTGAAAAAACAGAAGGATGTGCTCCATATCATGCTTAAAATGAAACACAGGTATTCACTTTCAAGACACTAAAAACAAGGTATTATACATGCTGCCTCGCTTATGGTGGGCTTCATCTCAGGAAATTCATCACACATAGAAAATCTAAGCAGATAATGCAGTTAAATGCACCTAACTCCTCTCACATCCTAGCTCAGCAGCTCAGTGCACATTTCCTTTCTTGGTCTTAGTGCTGACTGGGAGCTATGTTCACTGCCATTGCCCAGCATCACCAAAGAGGACAGGATGGCACAGCACTAGACTGAAAGAGATAAAGTTCACAATCCACATGGTGAATTCCACTGAATGCATGTTGCATTAACACCTTCATGAAGCTGAACAATTTGTAGATTAAACCATTTAAGTTGAAGGCTGTCTTTACAATAAAAGCTGCCTGGTAGGTACTTAAATTTTACAACAATCTGTTGGAATCTGGTGACAACTCTGCTATTTCAGTGAGCTCCTGATTAGGTCCTATTAGTATAAATGAATATATTTCATTTTCACTGTTAGACTGTACATTCTGTCAATACTGGATTCATGTGTTATTAGTTCCAGGCTCCTTCTGGACCCAGGACGGTTCTAGAACTCGTTTGTTGAACAGGTGAATAATTTCAGACCACCAAAGGGGACTATATTTATTTTCAGCTTTCATTTAACATTTCAATGTTCCCTTTAAAGGGGAATATTGAATTTCCCCTTTGATTTTAATAATTTCTTCAGACATTTGCATTTATTGAATTGCAAAGTGATTTATTTTCACACATACATCCCATTTCTGTCTTTACCAAGGATACCCCAGGGTAAGGTGGAAACTGTCCATTAGATTAGGCAGACAGAAACGAAATATTGTTTTGAGCTGGCAGTAAATATAGAGATAGCCTCTACTACATTTTTTTTTCCTAACGGAACTTTTGTTCCTTATACTTTGTTTCCAGTCATAAGGGATAACAGGTGGGGATTGGGGCTTGCTGTAACCTGATATGGCCTCCAAGAAGGCTGGCCTTTTTAGGGACAACTGGCTGTAGAGCATGCTGGCCCTACTGTCCCCTTTACCCCCTTGGAGGCAGCCCTACGTAGACGTCCCATAGAGACTGCTCACTGGCTTCCTGCCTATGCATGTCCATTGTCTCCAGAATGGAAGGCATTTAGAATAACATACTGAGTATTATCCCCTCCATTACAACAAGATAGACCTAAAAGAATAATTTCAAAACTATTTTGAACAACTAAAATGCTTAATATTAACTGGAATATTACAAAAGATCCAGATGTACCTGAATAATAATAAATATTAATTAAAAAATGTTTGGGATGAGCACTATGGTTTAACAGGCTAAGCCATTGCCTACAATGCTGGCATCCGTACAGGTTTGAGTTCTAGTTGCTCCAGTTCTGATCTAGCTCCCTGCTAATGTGCCTGGGAAAGCAGTGGTTGGGTCCCTGTCACTAATGTGGGAAACCTGAATGAAGCTTCTGGCTCCTGACTCGGCTTGGACTAGGCATGCAGCCATTTAAGGAGTGAACCAGTGGATGTATTATTTAATTTCTCTATTTCTTTCTCTCTCTCCTTTCGATTTCTCTCTAATTCTGCCTTTCTCAAAAATAAAAATCAAACTTGAAAAAAAAAGATTTAAAATGTCTTTTTAAACTCACCTTTAAAATTCCTTCTTGTTAGAAAACTGAAAGATGATAGTAATATCATCTGCTATTTTCAGTAATCCACTATAGTTTACCACTTTCACTTATATGCATAATCTCACTTGATCTAATAACCTCCATGTTTTTTCTCCTTTCCAATGTGAATCTGATATTTATAAAAAATAAATACGTTGAAATAATCCAGAACTACTCATTCTACTCTCCTGTCTTTACATCATTTAAAAAAAAGATTTTGAATTTATTATCATTCTAATATCTCAAATTCAGAAGATATATCTAATTATTGTCATATTTCTTCCTTATAGCCAGAGATTTTCAAAACACAGAAAATAAAAATGGCCAATTATTGTCTGATATTTTTAAAGCAATATCATCTACCTTTGAAATTTATCCAGCTATTTTTGCCCAGTTGCAATGTAGGATTTTATATACTCTGCGTCTCAATTAAAATGAAAAATAATAATAATTACAAAAGATATGTTCTGAACATCTGACAGTCCATTCAGCCATCAACAATTTCTTTTAAGGACTAGGTACACTGTCAGAATAGTGAAACAAAAATTTCTTTGAGGAAAATAACAACAGCAAACATAGTCCCAGTTCAGTGGTTAAAAATCTTAAAATTTAGCTCTTACCATCTGGAATACCTAGGCCAGTCACATAACTTACAACAATATGGATGAGGTCTTTTCTGATATTCAAGGTACTAACTGCATCTAACAGCACCCTTAAGCTTGCACTCTTCCATCTAACATACAGAAAAAACAGAACTGTAAAAATCATACATCAGAAATTGTTGAGGGGACTTAATGAATGCACCTGGATCGCTTTCTTTTTTAACACTAAAATCACCTTTAAAATAAAAATTACTGGAAAATCAATGATGAAATTAGAAACTGCTGAAAATTGCTTCTTTATTATTTCACATTTAATCAGAAACAGTAACATAGTAAAAACGGGCTGGGCCAACTTAAGGGTTTTATATCTATCTCATCCCTACTTTCTTCAAATTATTGCCACGTGTACATTACATCCCCACTACCACACACACAAACACAAATGGTACACTGAAAAATTTCAGCAGAGAAAGGTCAGGTCACTTCACAGAAACAGAAGTGGCCCAGCTGGAACCTGCTCTACCTGGAGCTGGGGTCTGGGACACAGTTTGGCTGAGCATGGGCTGACGGTAAGTTGTATGCAGGTTGCATATGAAGAATTACAAACATCATTGTAATGGAAATAGGATTTTATTTTCCTGTGTGGGATATCTGACTATACAGTTATCTGGTGGAAAGTGAGACTCAAGCAAGAAAACAGCCATGTTCCTGCATCCATCCTTGAGGTGCAGGTGACACACACTCACATGAACACTGCCTGAGCAGGGGAGCTGAGGGGGGAAACACCAAAGACTCTGGAAAGCAGCATCCCTGTAACGGTCCTGACCAGCAAGGAAGAGAGGAGGAGCTAAAGCTAATCCCAACCTTGCTTCTTGAAAGTTGGCAATATCATCACATGAGGGATGGAGCCCAGGAGGAAAATGGGATAGAGGACAAGAGAGCTGCCCCTGTGACACCTATGTGGTGACACCAAGTAGGCTGTAGACACATGAAAGTGGATTTGAAGAAGGGGATTAGAACCTGTGAGAGTGTGGATTTGGAAGTTACAGAGAGAACAAGAAAGCCTGAATTTGAATTCCTGAAAGATTATCACAGTTTGTATTCCTTTGTCTTCTGATCTGTACTAAGCATATTTATTAGACAACTTTTCCTCAAAACTGATTTTCTCTTACTTCTCTGTAGCACAGAAGCCGTGGCTTGGCTTCTCCTGGGTCTAACCTCTTTGGAACCTGGAACAGAGCTTCACGTATAAACATGCAGAGTGGCTGTTCCCCAACATGTAAACTCAAGAGTATGGCAGCCAATTCACATCCTGTACCTCACACTGGACAGATACTGGGGAGGGGCCTCTATAGGCTTGGTTCTGCTCTCTTGTAAGAATAAATCCCATGAACATTTAAAATTCAAGGACTGTACTGTTCCTTGAATATTAACGTTAATTAAGCGGGTAGAATAGTCCCATAGGTTCAAATACTAAGCCCTTAACAAGTGTTTAATAGTGAATTCTTTGTCCTTGATGTAAGTGTTGTTTTCATCTAAGATGTGAGGCAAATCATACGCTTCTTTTATCTGTCTTTGCCCTAGACTCTGAAATGTTTGAACATAAATTAATCAATGGCAATTATACTCATGGTACAAAGACATGAGCATTTACCCAGTGTTAGATACTGCTGCCAAGTCTGTCATTCCTTTTATTCAAAGCAGGCATCAACCATTTATATCAAAAATAAAGCATTAAAAATGATCACTCATCAGCAAGCTCTTCTTTATTTCTCTCTACATCCAACATATCTATCTGTTTTAGTTGACTGATGGGTAGGATAGAGAGGAGAAGGTACAAATAAATAGAAATGTATAAAAAAAATAATTTTAATCACCCAAACTTCTATTCCTCCAAGCTGGCCCATAGCTCCAGTAGGGATAATCCCATCACGGACCTTGTGTTCCTCTGAAGTCTCAACTGTCCAGACAGCCCCATGTTGTTGTTCAGTTCAGAAACCCAAAACTGTCTTTTGCTTAGATGTCACTCTATTACACACATGGAATGCAAGGGCTACAAAGATTCTGTGTCTCCTTCCACTGAAGTTTAGCCTAGCATGGGAATCCTGCCATGGAGGAGGGCAAAAGCAAGCCATAACACCAGTGCTCCATGTACATCATGGAGTTTTGGAATTTATAACACAGAATGTAGTGATGAATGATTCAATGTTAAGTTTATACAAGCTGACATTGTATTCAGAAAAGTGTCATAATCCCTCAAAAATATGTAACTTCTTTTAGCTGCTACCTTTTTTGTGTCAGTATCTGTCATTACAAGGGCTCATCTTAAACTTGGGGCTAAATATTTCAGGAAGTAAGATGCACAGTTTACTATCAGGGTCAATGTGCATAGGAATCAACTGGACACACTGCCTTTCATATCCCCCAAAACACAAACAGAAAAGAAACAGGCAAATTGTTTAAATATTTTTTTTCAAAAAATGTAAACAATATCTGAGACACCTCTTTATTTCTTAATTTTAGGGATTTTTCTAGAGCAATATCTACTTCTTTGTATATAGACATCAACACACACACACACACAAACACACACACACACACACGGAGTTCTGACAATTACTTATCTAATTTCTTTGAGGAAATAACAGAGGCCAGATCTCAAAAGTTCTTTGTAGCATTAAACTGGACCTGTTCAAACAGTTTAAACAGTTACATCAGTTAAATCACAGTCTGGAGCAGTATATGTTTAACATTATCTTTCGAATTGTAGCCTTCTAGCAATAACGTCTTCCATTATCCTGTTCTAGAGGACATGATAGCAGAGCCCCTTACCTCTTTGTTCCCAACCCGCTGCATGGCATCCCCCAGGTGGAAATAAAATCGCCCATCATCGGTGCCTGGATCTCCAGACTCTATTCCTTCCTGCAGAGAAAACCATGTTAGTACTTGTGCAAATATTAAAAATTAGGTTTCATTTACTAATTTACATTTCAATAATTTCATTATTTTATTCATGCATTCATCTATTGACATCATAGGGAAATCTAACAACCAGGAAAGCATCTCAGTATGATTTGCCAACGAGGTCAACACAGACAAGGCACAGTCAAAAGGAGGTGATGCCAGTAAACCTGGCAACGCACGTATTGCCGATCAACAGTGGAATATTGTATAAAATTAGCATGATGCTTTGTGTACCTTCTGTGTGGCAGCAATTATATTCCAGTACTACAAAGAATTTCCCTGGCTGAATATCTCTCACATTTATTTTCCTCTCCGAATCTGACCATATGTCATTTTGAGGCTTTTTATTCCTGAACCAAATTGCTTAATTGCTCATGTATGAAGTGATGGCAGTCCAACTGCAAATCAGATTTCTTTCCATTCAAAACAAATGTGTTCTTACCTTTTAATGATTTTTTTTCTGCAAAACACGCAGAAGGCTTAAAGCTAATTTGAATCTTTTAAAATGTAGTCTTTATAGAACAATTTCTATTCTAAAACATTTACCTGATTTCCCTTCCTCTCCCACAAAATGAAGGAGGTTGAGATCTATGTACCCCTCCCCAACTTGAGAAAAGAATATTGTCACAAAAACATGGATTTAAAAAAGTTGAAAAAAAAAAAGATCAATGACATTTAAATGTCAAGGACTTCTTCCTAAATCTGCATCTCCAGACCTCTGCCCAGGAAGCCTGTTACCTTTCACTAGGAAGAAAGTATTTGCATAATGTTGGAAAGCAGCAAGCAGTGTGATGGATCAGGAGAAACACTGCTCAGGACAGGAGGAAAGCTGTGACCAGGGCTCCGCCTGCCCGACACTCAAATGTCCTTGTCTGTTAACGACGCTGGCTCTTTCCTCTTTAAAGAGTGTGTGTGGAGGGAGCGGTGGCTTACAGACCCTCCTAATTCACAAAGAAATACAGGACCCTGAGAGGGAATACAAAGGTTTGTAGAGGCGTCCTGACATCTGGGCCGGATGGTGGGACCACATGTCCACCTCCAGGGGGCACCAGGGTGCAAGGCTAATTATGCCAGAATTTGGAAACATGAACTTTCAAGAGAAATTAGAAATCTGGAGTTCTATAAGTGCTTAGATCCTCACATACAGCAAAGGCTCAAAATTGTTTTTTAAAAGACATGTGCTGGGCAAAATGAAATTCACAAGTGTCTGCAATCAGAGGATTGGTGCTTATTTGACATAAATCATGTGAAATAAAGAAATCAGATAGAACATCCTGTTACTTATAAAACCGTTTGCAGTTATCCAAGTGGTTATGTGTCCAGTATTGTAGATCAGGCCATGTATTATTATTTAAAATTAAATAAAATAAAATAAATGACAAATGTACTTCATCAGTCAGCCACATTTCAGGTGCTTAGTGGCCACTTTGGCTGGTGACTCTACCACAGGAGAATACAGAATACTCTAGCTGGTACAATGACCTAGTGGCTAAATCCTCGCCCTGTATCTGCCAGGATCCCATATGGGTGCTGGTTTGTATCCTGGCTGTTCCACTTCCCAGCCAGCTCCCAGCTTGTGGCCTCGGAAAGTAGCAGAGGACGACCCAAAGCCTTGACATTCTTTACCCACGTGGGAAACCCAGAATAAGCTCCTGGCTCCTGGCTTGGGACTGGCTTAGCTCTGACTGTTATGGCAACTTGGGGAGTGAACAAGCAAACAGAAGATATTTCTGTCTCTCCTTCTCTCTGCAAATCTGCCTTTCCAATAAAAATAAATAAACCTTTAAAAAAAGAAATATTTCGGGCCCGGCGCGGTGGCACAAGTGGTTAAGGTCCTCACCTTGCATGCCCGGGATCCCATATGGGCGCCGGTTCTAATCCCGGCAGCCCCGCTTCCCTTCCAGCTCCCTGCCTGTGGCCCAGGAAAGCAGTCCAGGACAGCCCAAGGCTTTGGGACCCTGCACCCGCGTGGGAGACCCTGAAGAGGCTCCTGGCTTCGGATCGGCATAGTATCGGCCACTGTGCTCACTTGGGGAGTGAATCATCGGACGGAAGATCTTCCTCTCTGTCTCTCTCCTCTCTGTATATCCGCCTTTCCAATGAGAAAATAATAAAAATAAATCTTTAAAAAAAAAAGAAATATTTCTATCAGGAAAGAAAATTCTGTTGAATAGCCCTGAGTTAGACCAAATGCAACTCTGGACAAGGACTCACTTAGATATGTGAGAAAAACATTCAATTTAAATATTTTTGAGCTAGCTGATAGGCATTTGGGAGTTGACCCACTGAGTCTACATTCATTGCATCATCTCGTGTAGGCAATCATAAATGCTGTTCACAACAGACTTACTATTTGACTGATAAATGAAACATTTTGTGGATGGTTCATATTTTAAATTGTTAGAATAATCTGCATTAAAAGTTGCAATTTAGTAGTTTTCCCCCAGGGTCTTTGCCCAATAGTCTCTGAAGTTTGAGCATAGTAAGGATTCCCATTGCCTATGAAGGACACGGTTAGAGGTGACATCCTGTTTATGTAAAGACGGCAATGCATGTCACCAAATTCAGATGCACAAAGGTGAAGAAAGGTCAAGACGGAAGGAGAGGACAAGCAGAGATGTCACCTTTAAATAGGGAATGCTCTCAGCAATCTTGTTCTGTGTCTTCAGGATAAAGCCGTAATGCACTTTGGCAAAGCCGTCATTAGGTGTCACAGTCAGAACCTGCAAAGGGAGCAAAATACTATTGTGATAATGCGTAAGCTCCACAAGTGACTGTCAGGACAAATTACACTTCATCTTGCTCTGCATGAGATGGATCGTGATGTCACAATTTAGAACATTACAGTATTTTGTCTCATTTCAATGTCATGATTAAATGGCCCCCTTCTTCCCTCAACTAAATATGCCTTTTGTATTTACACATTGGTTCTTTACAATGAAGAAATGAGAGAAAAGGTGGCATTCAATAAGCAAGGCTTTAGCAATGCGGACTGGCAAGATACCTGTCAGCTAATATGGCTTTCATACTTTTTGATGTATTAGGTAAAATTGCTTTAAATTTATTAGACTTGAAGATAACTGTTTAAATACATATTTTACATGCTATCTTAACTAAGGAAAAATTTAGATTTTCGCTTGTAATTAACTGTCATGGTTTAGAAAAACTGTCTTGAATATCCAGATCCTTTTAATAACTGAAGATAAAGTGGTGGCCAAATCTAAAATTCTGTGACTTTTAAAAAGCAGGTTGTGTTCACAATGATTCCAGGGTGAATTACGTAAAATGCCTGCGCATTAAACATCAGCGGTGAGAAACAGTCTCTCCCTACCTGCAGTTTCACGCTCCACAGCCAGCTGAGATGAAAAATATGAAACAGACAGCTCCAGGAGTAAACAACCCTAAGTCTTCAACTGCATGCTGCTCTGAGGCAGGGAGATGCAATCCCATGCCAGCCTGTTCCATCTGCCCTGGCCCTGAACCATCCTTTCATTCAGGGCATTCACACTCTCTATGCTACCTGCCCACTGCTCACATAATGGTCTTCTCTCTGCTACCATATTAGCGATTATGCTTTCACAGTCTTTGTGTTCAAGTAACTCTTACTTGACTTAATAAAGACCTCAAATGTCACCGCCATGTAGGGTAGAAAAGGAATTAAGGCACTCAATGAGGGGCCTGGGATAATTCCCTATGGAGAAAGGGGGACAATTTTATATTATAGTTATAAATAGCATTGTACATAGATGTTAACAGTGACAGTGAAAAAATTTCAGCAGTTAAAATTTAAAATGGGGCCCAGCACAGTGGCCTAGCAGCTAAAGTCCTTGCCTTGAACGTGCTGGGATCCCATATATGGGCGCCGGTTCTAGTCCCGGCAGATCCACTTCTCATCCAGCTCCCTGCTTGTGGCCGGAAAAGCAGAGGAGGATGGCCCAAAGCCTTGGAAGCTTGCACCTGTGTGCAAGACCCAGAAAGAAGTTCCTGCCTCCTGGCTTCAGATTGGCTCGGTTCCAGCCATTTGTGGTCAATTGGGGACTGAATCACCAGATGGAAGATCTTCCTCTCTGTCTCTCGTCCTCTGCATGTATCTGCCTCTCCAATAAAATAAATAAGTCTTAAAAAAATTTTAAAATGGAGCTAAAGTATTTCATCCTAAAATTTACTCTAGGATGTTTTTTGTTTATAAACATATTAGTGTGCTATGTACATGATATATGAATACATGTATAAATTACATATATTTTCCTGAATATGTTTTACTGTGATAGCACTGAATCAGCCATACTGCAGTGGACAATGGGAATGTCGAGGGACTGAAGACAAGAAAAATAGTGAGATTTGATTTTAGATCAACTAGGAGCCCAGGTTAAAAATGGGGGCGGGGCATAGCAATAGCCTAGTGGCTAACTCCTTGTCTTGCATGCATCAGTTTTGTGTCCCAGCTGCTTCACTTCCCATTCAACTCCCTGCTTTTGGCCTGGGAAAATGTAGAGCATAGCCCAAACCCTTGGAACCATGCATCTGTATGGGAGATGGGGAAGAGGTTCCTTGCTTCTGGCTTCTGATCTGCTCAGCTCTGGCTGTTGTGACCACTTGGGTGGTAAACTAGAGGATGAAAGATTTGTTTGTGTATCTTCTTCTCTCTGTATATGTGGCTTTCCAATAAAAATAATCGCCCAAAGCTTTGGGCAGTCCTCAACTGCATTCCCAGGCCACAAGCAGGGAGCTGGATGGGAAGCAAGTCAGCCAGGGTTAGAACTGGCAACGATATGGGATCCCGGGTGCATTCAAGACAGGACTTTAACAGCTATGCTATTGCGCCGGGCCCTAAAAATAACTATATCTTAAAAAACAAAAATAGAGGGGACTTGAAAGACTTTCAGGAACTAGTGATTTCATACTAGATCTGAGATTGTTTCATTAACAGTGATTTCCAGAGTTGTGGTGTGTGGTTTTGATAAGTGCATGTTGATTGGGTGGATGGAAACATGGGATGCAGGAGGTGGGGGGAGAAGAACCAAGAATGATGCCTGAATTTCAAGCATGGGTGGTTTGAGTCACAACACGGATGTGCTGCTAACTTGCAGGCACTAGAAAAGCCTCCAATAGGTAATGACATGAGCAACCTATTTGATGGTCAAACCCATTTGATGGCCAGTCCCTTCAAAAGGAATGATACCAGAAAGATAACTGTCTGTGATTTTTACAATTTCCCCAAGAATAAAAATCAACATGAAGGAAAATGTAAAAATATAATATTGGTTTTATGAAAATGACCTTTGATGGAGACATAAACATAGCAGGCTGAACTTGGGTTAAGGCAAGTGAATCCATTAGATACAGCTTATTAACCCAGACGGGAAAGGAAGATGAAGGGAGCGGAGGCAAATCCCACATACATTTTCAGCTGATGACTGCTTCTTTAAAAAGAAATACACTCATCTCCATAATGTGGCTGTATTTTAGGCTCTCTCCATCCTATTGGACCTATTCAGATGAGATTATGGCTTGAGATGTATTAAGAACAGCAAGTAAGTTTGGTTTTCCAATACAAGGTAAATGCTTCACAGAGTACATATTTAGTATCAGGTAAAAAAGATGAACTCACTCAAGGGAGGATTGGAAAGGGGGAGGAAGGCCAAACCCACAGTGTATTAGAGCAACTACTAGCCTTTCAGATCCTGCCTGAACTCATCAGAGGTGCTTGGTGCTCAGTCAGCATTTGATGGCACTTTTCAGAAGGAAGGAAGGGCGAGAGAAAGAAATGTGGGAGACACACACAGGGAAGGATGGAGGGAAAGAAACAAAGAGGGAATTGTATGGTCCTATCTTTGCTTCCTATGTTAGTGATAGAATAATGGGCATGTCTGCTTAGTTTAATAATTCTTCAATTCACGGGGTCCTCAATCATAGAGATAGATGATGCCTGCCTAAACCAAATGCTGCAAGTTAGGATTCTGACTATATTTTGGCCATTAGCAATACAATATCACACTCAGAACTTGTTTATAGCCTTGACCAAATCTTTAGTAGATGATGCACATTTTAAATACTGTAGACTCAAACCACTTTTGTAGATATTATCAATGCTATAAAAAGCAAAGATTTGATCCCTGCTGTCTCATTAAATATATGTATTTTTAAAAAGCATAGCAAGGGTAAAAACACAACTCTCCTGAAATTCAGTGCCTGTCAATTAACTGTTAAAAGCAATAAACAGAGAAAAACAGCATGCTGTGGGCGGACTTGGTCCCCGGACTAAACACAAAAGAACCATACTTCATGGCATTTTGAATCACACTGGCTATCACCAAAGGACACTATGTTGATGCTAACTATATCAGTTGACAACCTTTAATCAACAAGCCTGAATTAAAACATAGTGAGTAAATGTGTTCATCTTTCATTCACAGAGGCATTAACTTGGTCGAAATTCAAAGTTTACTGGGTATCACATTTCTTCTGCACCAAATGAATTCTCTTCATTGTCTAAAGTAGTCACAGTTCTGCAGGTTTCATAATTCCATGGAACTTAGAAATTATCTAGTAAAATGTCCATTTCAAGAGAGAAATCCTCTCAAAGACATAAAGGATCCAAGAAGCAATGGCTTTCTGAAGGAAGAGTCATTTATTCCACATGCCTCAAAGAAACACATCTTCTGTAGACTACAATGGACTTACTGTGAAAAAAAAAGTGGATTGTTTTACATTCATAGGAACTTGAGCACCTTGCATGCTAAATAACGTTTTTAGGAGGAATGCTTTTGGAGTAATACACATGAACTTTTAAAAATATACCAAACTTAATTATTAAAATTTAAAATTTAATGATTATAAAAAGCAACATAAAGATGAAGTTTAGAATATGTGAATTATAATAATACTGGCATGCTACTTAATTTAAAATAAAAAGAGGGTTGAGCATTGTGAAATAGGTTAAGCCATAGCTTAGAGCACCTGAATTCAAAGTTAGAGTGACTAGCTGGAGTCTTGGTTATCTTGTTTCTGAACCAGCTTCCTGCTAAAACATTCTGAGAAGTATCAAATGATGGTAAGAGCTTGGATCCCTGCAACCCATATTGGAAACTTGAAAAGAGTTCCAGATTTCTGGCTTTGGCTTGGCCCAGCCCGCTGTTGTGGGCATTTGCATTGTCAACCAGCAGATGGAAGATATTTTTTCCGATGTCTCTCAGTTTTTTTCCTGTCACCCTACCTTGCAAATAAATGAGTAATTAAATCTTCAAAAAAAATAGTAGCACACGAGAATGAGAAAATGGGCATATACAAGTAACATTAGAACATAACGGTCAAGATCCTTTGACAGTGAATACACTGATGCTCACCTCTTCATAAACCTTCTTGGCATTGTCATTGTCTCCTATTAAGAGGTAGCCCACTCCAAGGTCATTCTTCAAAGAAGTGTCATTGGGAAATAGCTGAACCAACCTCTGGAGGGTGAGCAGGGAACCTCTCATGTGACCTGATGTGGGGGAAGGCAGAAGAAAAAGCCAGCAGCAGTAAAAATAAGTAGGCATATCTTTATATTAGGAATCATATTCAGAATCTGAAGACTAGCTTCAGTCTGAATTTACATATAAATGATTTAGCAAGTACCAAGAACAAGCTCATGAAATAGTTGCAATGATAAATAAATATTATAATTAACGAAATAATATTGACCAAATATTAGAATATTTCCTAAAGTCATCAGTTTTTTTTAATATAAAAACTCTCAAGAAAGTTTCAGTTATCAAATGGTTACATAAATATATTGCAGATAATTTTGTCTTATTTATTTTAAAATTGTAAATTGAGAGTAGATCACAGGAAGTCTGATTGATTTCAGGGTCTAGCATCCTGTATAAAGCCTGAAACAGCACGGAGGTGCACGAGAGAGCACTTCACCACTGGTATGTTCTCCATCTCCGAGTGGCTGTCTGACCTACGGATTAAGAAGTGAGTCCCATGCTGGAGTGCCTACATCTGATTCCTGGTCCAGGTTCTTACTTCAGGTTCCGGTCGAGGTAGACTCTGTGAGAGGTACTGATGGCTCTAGTGATGCATTCCTGCCATCATGTGAGAGAACTGGATGCCATTTCTGCCTCTCAGCTTCCATTTGAGGAGTGAGCCACCACACCAGAATATGAATTCTATCTCTCTAATAAATAAAATAAAAACTTAACAAAAAAAGGCAAGTGAACTCATCTTCAAGTAAACACCTAATGATACAGGAAAGGATCCATCATCCAGTGTTATGGGACCCTCTGGTGGACATCAAGATACTGTGCACTACTTGAATTACAAGAACTCTAATGTATTTTTAAGGCAGTCTGATGGAAATTTAAAATGTCAGGGTCTATTATTATTTCTTGTCATAGTTATCTCAGAGAAAATGTGCAAAATATTGCTATTACACATGTCCAAAAATAATTATCTCAAGGACTTAGATGCTCAAAAGCTGGAATATTAGCTGAGGAGTTGTAGAGCTATTAGTGCGATAATATTTTACACTGACAAACTAGCAGAAAGCATCATCAGCTTGTCCCATGATTCGTACTTATAATTGGCTAATCACATTCCAATCATAACTGAGAACGGGTTTGCTCAGCAAGTCACTCCTCTAACACACCAGTGCCTTCTTGTCTGCAGCATTTCTTACCCCCTCCGGCCTACCTACGCCTGTACGTTTTGTCTTCTAAACCTCTCTGGTTGACAATCAATAAAATGCTGATGTCAATCTTCTAATATCTACAGAGTCTTTTTCTGGTCTCTTCCACTCTGCCTCTTGGACCCCTGCACCTCCATGAGCAAACTTGACCACCTGGTCACTTTTTTACTAAATTCTTCCAATTGAATTGCCCTAGAGATTCTTCAGTTGAACCTCACTTCCATAGATTCTGGCCATCTACAAAGGTGACACAACTACACTTTCCTACTTGCTCGGATGATAAAGAAGCCAATTTGGCCTTGTGTGTTACTGAGATGAGTCCCTTCTATGTGACAGATGAGTCCCTTCATGTGACCATGCAGGTGGCTGGGCCCCACGTTAGCAATAACATGTAGCTTAGATTTCCTCCCCTCTTAGCTTTTTGGTGACAGGGTAGCAGGGAGAGAATTAAAAATCTGGTTAAAAATGAAATGAGTTTGGGGGCTGGCACTGCTGTGGGTTAAACCAGTGCCTATAGCACTGGCATCCCATATGGGTGCCGGATCAAATTTGGACACTTGATGATTAAACCAGTGGACTGAAGATCTCTCTATCAGTCTCTCTTCCTCTATGTAACTCTTTCAACTAAAGAAATAAAATACATCTTTAAACAACTGAAGAAACTTGCTTTTAGCACTGAAAACTGTTAGCTGACAGCATGGTATATGCTGTTCTTGACAAAGTGTTTTCAAATTTACAATTAAAAATGTTTTAATGTTTTTTCCTACTATTTCCCTTGGTCTAGGGTCAAATCTGACAAGTGAAATTTTAGAATGCCTGAAACAACAAACATTACTTAAAAACGATCTCTTGATAATTGTAACCTCTGAGTCAGCTGGTTACAGTTAAGAAAGTGAAAAACTCGGCATCACAGAAGAGCTTCTGATCCTAGGTTCATTCATTTATTAGCTTTGATTCCTTGGCTAAATTATCCAAGTTCTCAACTTTCTACGTGTTTGTAAAGTGGTGAAGGTCAGGTGGTATAAAAATATCATTTGTGTTTTTGTAATTGTTAAATGTAGGAATTCAGTTTTAGAGCTGCTCAGGTTAAAGGTCAGATAAACTTTGAAAACACAGGTTCCCTCCCCTGTAACTGAATGCTTCTAAGAGCAGTGTACTGATGTTCTCCACTATACGAGGGATGGACTAAAGATTTCTGACCTTTGATCATGTAAAAGTCACATTCATTTAGTACTTCGAATTGATCTTTTCCTGGGCCAGTGCAACGTGTTTTATCTTCTCTGGAGATGCTAGGCAGTGACAGTGAGGTCAGCTCTCAGTCAGCCTGCAGTCAGGAAGGGGAACAACCCTGCTCTGTGGCTGTGCTGTAATGTTTAGTAGCTTAGGTGGCATCAATGTATTTTCAAGTTAAAATGGTTTTACTGGGGAGGTGGGCACGGTGAGGTTATTTTAAGCGGAGGAGCATCTGCATATGACGTTCAGGTTCTCCAAGATGAAAGCATGTTCCACTGAATCAACTGTCACTGCTTCACTGCTTCTTACCAAGAAACTGCTGTCTCTCTGAACGCCGCTTCAAAGTCAGTTTCAGAAGGTCTGTGGGGACCTCGGGCAGGTTGGCCACTTCTTGATAGGTTTCGATGGCTCCACGAAGTATCTCATTGCTCCTCCTTTTCTCAGCCAAATCATCTTCACACTAGAAGAAGTTAGCAAACTGGATCAATGACCCATGACCCATTAGGCTTACCATTATCCAAACTATTCACAAAAAGCAATGTTTGGATATACTTTAAGAGAACTTACAGATAAATCTTTCTTGTGTATCAAGATGAGACAAACAAAAGCAAAACAATATGTTAGTTTCTAATCTGCAGGTCAACCAGTTACTAAGCCAGTAAGAATCATAATCAAGACTAATAAGGATATATGTAGCTAATGCTTTATAATCCATCTCAGCTAGTGTTATATAAAGATAACTCCAATCCAGTTTTTATTTTATTGGTTTATTCCTGTGTTCTTTCATTCATCCATGCAATTACTGTTTTATGTATGTATAGATAATTTGAAAACAAAACCCTTTCTAAGGTTGCTTTCATTTAAAAAACAAAAAAAGAGAGAAAGACTAAATATAAACGAAACATCCTGTTTGTGGGCCACAATGCTAACAATTAAAGCCAAGCAGGCTGAGGAGAGCTGGGTCTAGTGCAAGGGAAAGGGCTAGCTAAATTACAACAATCCAGGAGGAGCTGGAAGAGACTGGGCAAGATATGAAGCTACCTGATGGAAGAGTCTTCTAGGCAAAAGGATTAGCAAAAGCCATGACTTCAGGGCAGGAGTAAGGGATAGAGAGAAAGCCAACACAGTGGGGGGAAGAAGACAGTACAGAAGACTGCCATCAAATGATGCAGGGACCATTAACTGATGACCACTTTCTGAGGCCATGTCTGGAAAGACACTGCTGAGGTTGACACATCTGATGTAAGTAAGTGATCATGTTGGCAATAGTATCAAAATCAGCCTCATAGAGCAGAGAGCTCAGCTAGTATGCTCTGGCAGAAAAATAGACAAGGTGGCCTAGAAATTATAGTAACAGAGGTGGTAACAGATGCATCCTGATGGTCAGTCAACATATTTATAAAAAGAGAACAGGGCATGACACAGGTGAGAAATTAAAGTCAAGGAAGAAGTCAAGGTTTTTGGCTTCAGTGACTATCTGATAGAATTGTCATTCTCTAGGAATGGGAAGATAGGATACAATCGGTTTGAGTGTGAGAAGTCAGGGATTCAGTGTTAAAATACTGAATCAATGCTGACTATTTGAAATTCAAATGGAGATAATGAATAGAAAGGTGTATGTGTACATATGGAGTTCAGGAGAGAGGTCAGAGTAAGAGACAAATACTTAGAAACAGTCAAGGAAGGAGACAAGTATTTAAAACGAGGACACTCGAAGGAAGTGCCAGTTCAGAGACAGAAACAGAGGTCAGAAAACTGAACCTAAGAATTCTGATGCTTGCAGGTCATTTGGAAATCAGAAAGATAAGCGAGGTCAGCAAAAAAGAGCAGTGAGATAGAAGAAAATAAGCATCAAAAAGTTCTGGAGAGCAAGTGGGAAAGCAATGGTTTTAAGAGGAAGAGATCAAGTGTGCTAAACGTGGCCATAATTTTGGGTGGAATGATAACTAACACAAGATCATGTCAGACTGGGTAGGGATGAGATTTTGATGAACAAGAATGTTTACCCAGAGAACCAAATGCAGCAGGATCAACCGCTCCGACACACACAGTGAAAAGTTGCTGGTGACAGCCTTTTTTTTAGTGTGCTTAAATATAAGGAGAAGCAGAGACACGGAACAGCAAGTTGAGTGGAATGTGGGGAGCAAATAGCACAGCTGTTTCTGAAGTGGATGAAAAAAAACCCAGAAATCTAATGATGCAAAAGTTGACACAAAATTCTAATAAAGTCCTTTTGTAGGTAACAGTGGAAAGTAAACAGCAAGGTGAATGTGGAGCCCATGAGAACAGTTAGGAGCAGACTGTTAGTGCGGCCAAGTGAAAATTCTTTGGACACATCCTTTATTAATTTGTTTAAGTTTTTTTTTTTTAACCTTGAAAATTTTACAGAGAAGAAGAAGAGACAGAGACAGAAGGGTTTCCCATTTGCTGGTTTACTCCCCAACTGGCCACAACAGCCAAAGCTGAGCTGAGCTGAGCTGAGCTGAGCTGAACTGATTAGGAGCCAGGAGCCTCCTTCTGGTCTCCCACATGGGTACAGAGGCCCAAGCATCTGGGTAATCCTCAGCTGCTTTCCCAGGCCACAAGCAGGAAGCTGGATCAGAAATAGAGCAGCCAAGACGCAAAGTGGTACCCATGTGTAATGCCAGCACTAGGAGCTGGAGGATTGGCCTGTTGAGTCACCAACATGGCCCCAGACACTATTTTCTTAGTGAAATAAGAGGCAAAATCTGCAGATGGTGACTAAGAATGGAATGTATAATATCAGAAGTAGGGAAAAAGAGGGTAAAAAGATGGGTAAAAAGGTTACCCATGAGTCCTGAGATGTAGTTGATAACAACTAAAAGATCATCACTTACAGAAAGATTATGTCATGTAGATACTCACAGTAACAGTAACACGTATAATTTTTTCTCAGAGTATTTAGACATGCTACTAAATCAGGGTATATGCTGAAATCAACATGCAGATGTCCACAATCAAAATAAGTTTAACTCCATCCTTTGAGGACTTGGTAAAAATGATTGAGGAGGCTGGTACTGCGTTTCAACAGGCTAATCCTCCACCTGCTAATGCCAGCATTCCGTGTGGACATTAGATCATGTTCTGGCTACTCCACTTCCTATCCAGCTCCTGGTTTATCACCTCGGAAGGCAGGGCAGAGTAGCTCAAGTCCTTGGGTATCTGCACCCATGCTGGAGATCGAGAAGAGTCTCCAGATCCTGGCTTCAGATTGGCTCAGCTCCGGCCATTACAGTAATTTAGGGAGTGAACCAGCAGTTGGAAATCTCTCTCTCTCTCCCTTCTCTCTGTAAATCGGCCTTTCAAATAAAAAATAATAAATAAATAGATCTAAAAAAAGAAAGAAAGAAAATGATCCAGCCTCCCCCAAACCTTGAACACAGAAACTAGCAAGAATCAACATAAATTGGTAAAAGAGTGTATTGTAGACGTTTTTCAGAAAACAACACATCAATGAAATAACCTATTCTGATCACTAAGTACCAGTTAGTGTAAGTTTCCTAAGATGATGAAGACCAGCAATTGACAAAGTGCCAACAGTAATGGATACATTTATAAGAAAGGAAATTGGGTGTGACAAAATTCTCTAAGATTAACAAAGGTTAATACCCTAGCTTGAAGGAATTATGCTTCAGAACATTGAACTATTTTTTCTGGTCTGGCTGGTCTCCACAACAGTCCTCCTACCTGGAGAGAAAAGTCTAATATCGACCCATGTATGTCTCTTCACTGACACTGTACATTATTAATATGCCAGCTTCTTAAAAGATTTATTTATTTATTTGCAAATCAGGGTGACACGGAGAGATGAAAACACAGAGATCTGTCATCTACTTGCGTGCTCTCCAAGCAACCACAACAGCCAGGGTTGGTCCAGACTGAAGCCAGAGGCCTGGAATTCCAACCAGGTCTGCTATGTGAATGGCAGGGACCCAGGGACTCAATGTTTCCTTCCATTGCTTTCCTAGGAGCATTAGCAGGGAGCTGACCTGCAAATGGAACAGCTGGCACATGAACACACACTCTGATACAGGATGCTAGCACGGCAAGTGGCAGCTTAACTTGCAGAGCCACAACAGTGCCCATACCAGCTTTTCTGTTTAGGCATTGGTTTCTTGTGAGTTCGACTTAGATGAGTTAACTCCCAGAAGGTAATCATTGGTGGATTACCAAACATACTCAGTCAATGAACCACGAGAATCAATTTAAGACCAATAAGTTTGGCCTATTCACTTTGAACCTACAAAACTACCAATGGATCCTGGGACTGGAGATCTTTCTAGGGTTATCAAAAGGGCAAATGCCTCCCAAGATAACTCTTCATAGAGCTAGTCACAAGTGACTTTAAAAGTTAATCTGGAAAGAGAGATCTACAATCTGCGTGCATTGCTTCCTTCCAGAGCCCAAGGGTCTTTTGCTTTAATAAAATAGAAACCTTTTAAATGTTGAGAACTAGGGAAATATCAGTATTAAAAAAGCACATAATCCCTGAAAATATCTTGAATGAAACAGCAGCGTTTGCTTTGAAGACGAAAGTTGTACAGACTGATTTTCATCAGTTTAACATCTGTAGACAAAGCAAACCAGGCTGCAACTGAATATTTGTTACAGGATGTTAACAAGGCATTAATGGCTTGCAAATGATAATAAAGTGAGGCTAGTTTATAAGCTAAGAATTTCAAAACTGATTTTTACAGTCACCCAAAGAATAAGCCAGTATCAATACTACTTCAGAAGTGGTAGACACCATAATTCATATTTGATTTAACATTGAGTTTTGAAAATGTATTGATATTCAAAAATAATTTTAATCTGACAAAGAATAAAAAACTCTGATTTATTCCTCTCTATAATAAAGTCGATCTTCTATTGAATTTTTATTTTTAAAACTCTCATGCATCTAAAATTTTATAAATTACTTTGTTAAAATTTAATTTACCATGATTAAACTTCGTTTTATGCCACATTAATGTTAATATTAATAACATATTGTAGCGTAATAATTTAGAAATAAAAAATACTGCCCAAGGCCTCAACATCAAACACCTGCTGTGAAACAAGGAAATAAATCCAACAATCATCATGTTTCAGAAGTAGTGCATTTATTTAGACTTTGGTACCTATAATTAACATCACATACAATGAACTTATGAGGAACAAAATATTTTGCCATAATTAGCATTTGTATGAGCCATTTTCTCTCTCTAGCTAATATACTTTCCTGAATCAAACGACTCTATACTACTGACAGAACACACCACTTATTTAAACAGGCTTGAACTTTTGGTAACAAACACATGCTCTCTTATTTCAGAGCAATTAAGAAATCTTAGAGGAGTAGTGAGCAAACCACGTTATAACTGATGGTTGTGCTCTAGGATACTTGACCTGCACCATGGGTAAGAGGTAAAAATGCACTAATTTTTCACAACTTCATTTTGGTAAAATTTTATTAATGAAATTTTCATGAATGAATCATTAATAAAATCATTAATGGGCTTGTTAATCATTAGGAAACTTCATTGGTGGAATTTTCAGGGGAGGAGAGGATGAGTTTGAGCATGCAGATTACAAGTGGCTGCCACCTTGAACTTAAAGCAAAGTATACATACTTTACTGACAGATGTGTTAGTTGCTACAGGTCTTGCAAAGACCCCACCTTGGAAAGGTGAACCCTGGTCAGAAAAATTTCAGCAGTTCCGCATCTACCATGTCCCAGTACAACACATCACCTCGACGGCACAGCTGGGGCTGTGGAGGCTTCCCTGGCTGACACATGTCTATGTCTGGCTGTGGCATTCACTCTGAATATTCCACATTCTACAAACCCAGCGGTTCAGTTGAATTTCTGAGACTACCAAGACCAAAAGCAAGTCCTGGATGTCTGCATCTCTCCCCATCTATTTTTCTGGAAAGCAACTGGCACTGTCCTGTTTTCAGCTGGTTAAGCAAGAACACTAGGAGTTACGCTGGAATCATCTCTCCAATTCTTACATCTAACCTATCACCAACTCTGCATCCCCATTATGGCTGTCATCCCCCTATCCATGGTCATGATCATACTCAGATGCCAGAATTTTTTTCTGTGCATTTGTAGTAGCCTCCTAATTTTCCTGCATCTGCTTTGGTCCTTCTAATCCATCTTCCTCTCAATAACTGAAGAAGTATTTATTTAATAAAACAGACTAGCAATGTTCACATGTAAAGCCCTCCAAAGGCTTCCCAGTATCTATAGAATAATGTGTAAAGCCCCAGCCCCTTTGTTCCCACCGCCCTTCCTCGGCATGCCCTTCTGTCTGTTCTGGGCTTGGTGTGCCAAGACTGTTTGCAGGCATCATCTTAGCCTCTGCTGCCCTGTTCCCTCAGCCTGTACAGCTCCTTCGTCAACCTTGTCACATCCCAGTCACACAAAACCTTGAGTCCTTTTCTGATCTTATCTAAAGTGCCTTTTGCCCTGTCACTTTCAGTCATATTACCTGTAAACAAAAAGTCTTGGTAGGCATGTTCCTTATTTCTTCATCCAATTTCCTTTTGCATACAGTACATATTTTCAGGTAAGAAGATCTAATATATTAATGTTTAATACTCAAGCATAGTTTTAGATCTACCTTTAAAAGCACTTGAAATTTCATGAAAATGGGAGGGAAATATTTATATGGGTACAAAATATTAAAATGCAGATACAGATTTTTATAACATACATTTTCTACAAACATTTCAAGGACCCTGCATATACATGATCTTCAAGTGTTCTTTTCTGCACCAAGAAAACATACTAATTCCATTTCCACAAATTTTATGAAGTACCTTTGTATTTATTTACATGCATTTACACTACATTCAAATGTCACCCCTTTAATGAGGTCTCTCCTGTTTCCTACCTACCCCTCACATGTTCCTTATTTTCACTCTCCTCAGCATGCAGCAGGAGCAAGCCTGTATCCAACACTCACCTGTCCTGTGCTTTCTTTGTAAGGGAGGCTCAGCAAGCACATGTGCTAATTGGTGATTGTGCTTCCAAGAGCTTGGTACACAGGGTGAATCTCACTATGTTTTAACCAAGTAACTGACAATCCAAAAAAAATTTTTTTTAATTTTGAGAGGCAAAGTGTGTGTGTATGTGTGTGTGTGTGTGTGTGTGAGAGAGAGAGAGAGAGAGAGAGAGAGAGAGAGAGAGAGAGAGAGTTACAGAGAAAGGTCCAATCCATTACACTCACTAAAAACCCACAACAGTCCCCGAAGTCTGGGTCTGGTTTCCAGTTGAGAACCAGAATGCACACACTGGGTCTCCTGCATGGGTGGCGGGGACCCAGTCACTTCCATGAGTGGGCATTTAAGACTTGCCCTTCTCAAATCACAGTGCTGGTGTTCAAGCTGCGCTAACAGCTTCTCAACAAAGTACAACAGGAAAGGCAGCAATATTGATCCAAGTCACTGGGAGACCTGGATTTCATTGCTGGCTCCTGGCTTCACTGTACACTGGGAGCTCTGTACACTAGGAGCTCTCTCCCTCTCTGCCTCTTAAAAAATGCTAAAACATTAAAAACAAAAAGCTTCCACTAGAGCATAAGACCCAGAAGGATAAACACTGCCACAGTGCTCATAAGAATGTATGGTAATTTTTTTCACATTCTCCATATTTTATGATGCTTTGACATTTTTGGGTCTGGCATGATAGCCGTGTGGCTAAATCCTTGCTTTGCATCCACTGGGATCCCATCTGAGTGCTGCTTCATGTGCTGACTACTCCACTTCCCATCCAGCTCCCTGCTTGTGGCCTGGGATAGAGACAAAGCTAGAAAATCTAGTGTCATATTGTCAAGATATATTTAACTTTTATTTGGGAGCAGAGATGCCTACTGTGACACATCTTCACTTCCTGGTATGCTAGTCTCTATTGTATAGTTCATCTATAAGAATATATGTATATGCTATTCACCTATATATCTATTTGCTTTGTATTTTTCAACCAGGTTGCCTTATACAAGATGGAACATATGCTATTTGTCCTTTTGGTGTTGGCTTATTTCACTGAGTATAATGGTCTCTAGTTGGGACCATTTTGTGGCAAATGGTAGAATTTCATTCTTTTTAATGGCTGTGTGGTATTCTGTAGATTGGATGTATTTACAAAACCTCTCTTACTGAGGATAGCCTGCCCCTCAGGGCTGGCCATTCTTTAGCCTGGTGCTCAGCCAGCAGCAGGCTTTGAATATGTAAATCAGTCACTGAGAGCCAGAGTTCTCTCAGGTTGAGAAACCCTGAGAAACAAAATTCCTCTTTCATCATTCCAGTGTCTGGTATCAGGTAAGCAGATCCTGTAGGCCAAGGCCCACAGTTTTTTCCATTAGCTAATGTTAAGGCTCACCTTTGGCTACATTCCTGGCCTTTGGGAATCCCATCAAGGTTAGAGCCAAAGGCTTGCCCGCACTTGTGTTACCTGCCTCCTGACTGTCCTTGTATGATCCTGTGTTGCCTCTTGTGGCTCCTATGTCAGAGGAATAAACTGGTTTCCTGAGTCCCTCCGGTGTCTAGATGTACCAGATGGGCCAGACTGTCTCATAAAAAATACGAACTAGATATATGCAAGAGCTATAACAGCAACTGGCACAGGTAGATTTACTCAGGTGGATGTGGACAAGTGTCATGAAGAAACTAGAAGTTGGAGAAATCCAGGCAAGAAGACAGTAGGAGTGTGCATGAGGAGAAAGTCATTGGTCAGAAATGTGTCAGCTGGTACAAATCAGGAGAAAACAAAGCTTGCCTGACTTCTTGTAACCTCTAGGTATAGTATTGAGTATCTAAAGCTTTGAGGAGTACCAAGGGACAACAACACAGTGAGTCTAAATGGAGTGGAACGGGAGGTAACAGGAAATCAATGACAAAAGTGCTACTGTCCTTCCTTATCAAAAGTAGAGGGAAGCCTTATGGAAGAGGAACAGACAAAAAAAGTTACTAAATTCAACTTATGCAACAGTGATAACTGTCTTATTTAAGACAGAACTTCTTGCTTGACTTTATACATATACATGAGAAACTGATTGTGTAGAGAAATCAGAAGGAGAAGAGAGAAAGTGAAAATGGCAGAGTGAAAAATCCAATTACAGAACAAAGGAGCATCAGAAAGTTTTTTGAGAAGAGTTTTACAGTACCTGTGCTTTCCCATATCTGGCCCGTGGACTCTGGGGATATTTGCGTACTAGTTCTTCAAATGCTTTTATTGCTTCCTCAATTTTTCCCTGTTAGGAAGATAAAAACCCAAATATAATTATACGGCATCATTCAATACAGTTGTTTAATATTTAGCAAGTGATTTATCAGAATTTCCAACATTCCAATCAGAATTTAAGGGCAGTTTTTAAAACGATATTATGGCAAATATAAAACTAGAAGATAATAAGAACATAATCAATCTTTTATATTCATTACATTTTATAGACATTACATTTTATAGACATTACAAATGATGTAATATAATTATTTTTTAAATCATATTTTCTCGTAATACAGTTCTCATATTCACTGTCAAAATGTTTCAGTTGGGGAAAAGATTGTTAGAATGTCTTGGGTCTTTGGGAGATAATGAGATGCCTCATTGCAGTTTTAAACATCTGTCCAAACAGTAAGGAACAATCACAAAGGAACCAATTGGTCATGACACTTCTCCCACTGAAGGTCAAGGTTGATCAGGTTCCTCTGGTTGAGTGCAGTCCATCATGGCCTCTGTGTCATGAGACCTGCCCCTTAACCCCTGCAGCTACCTGGGCCTTAAAAGAAGATACGTCATTAGCTTCAGCTAGAGACCTCTGACCACACTGCAAGAAATGACTTTGAGAATGTGTGGCAGGTCAACTGGGCAAGGAGTAAGAGTGTCTGTCCTTTATGCTTTGCTTCTGATTCAGCTCCTTGTTGATGCATCTGGGAAAACAGCAGAAGATGGTCCAGACATCTCAACCCCTATTTACTGGTTGGAATTCCAGGCTCCTTCTTTTGGCTGGCCCCAACATTGGCCACTGTTGCCATCTGGGGAGTGAACCAACTCCCCAAAGATAGAAAAAAATGTCTTTCTGTGTCTGCTCCTCCTTCCCTATCACTCTGCCATTCAAAGCAATCAACAAATCTTTGGCTTGATGGAAAGCAAATGCACACTTGGAAGTAGACATAAATTAACCAGGAATGCATTATGTTAAACTTATTGCCACAAATAATTGTATTGCTATCTAAACTGCACTTTCTTAAAGTAGTAAAACCATTATTAATTTTTTAGTGGTTTAATGAACATTGATGAATTCATGCTAAATGACCTTTTCTGTTGTGACTTTCTTATAAATACCCTGTGGTTCCTGTAACAAATGACCACAAAATTAGAAACTCAATGTAAGAGAAATGAGTCCTTTCTCAGTTCATTATGTTCTGAAATACAAAGGTGGATAAGCATACGATAACATTTAATGATATTCTTATTTCCAAACAGAAGATGAAAGCAAGAAAAGGAAGGAAGAGTGGAGTCACTGGTTCTAAGCAAGTTCAAAATTCAACTATTATAATTAGGGTCCACTAGGATCCAAGGTGTGCGAATAATCTTCTGTGGCTGGAGGCTCTCTGCACCTTGGTTCCTGTGCCCTGGCTGTCGCATCCTTATCTCTGGTCATTAGACAAGAGGCTCTCTGCCAAACCCTTCTTGTATAATCTCTTCCCTATTCCTGACTCTTAAAACATGCATGGGTCCAAGAGTCTCGCACCTGATCTCTTCAGAAAAACAATGTCCAGTGCCAACATTTGACTTTTGTTTGGGGTACTCTTTACTAACAGTGAATGTCTTAATTCTTTAAAGATGTATTTATTTTTATTAGAAACACAGATTTACAAAGAAAAGGAGAGACAGAAAAATCTTCCATCTGCTGGTTCACTCCCCAAATGGACATAATGGCTGGAGCTGAACCAATCCAAACTCAGGAGCCAGGAGCTTCTTCCAGGTCTCCCATGCAGGTGCAGGGTCCCGGGGCTTTGGGCCATTCTCCATTGCTTTCCCAGGACATAAGAAGGGAGCTTGATGGGAAATTGAGACACTGGGACAAGAATGAGTGAACATATGGGATCCCAGTGCTTGGAAAGTAAGGATTTAGCCATTGGGCCATTGTGCTGGGCCCAAGATTTGGGCTTTTTCTATTCTGTATCTTAAAATTCCTCCAGCTTCTACTCAATTTCAGTAACCACGTTCAAATTCTAAGCTATTTGTAACAGTGGCACCCCACTACATAGTACCAAAATTTGCATTCATTTTCTGCGGCTGCTGTAACAAATTACCAGCAACTATAAACAAAAGAAATCTGCTCTCTTATAGTTTCAGGGACCAGCTGTCCAAAATAAGCTTCTGAGGTCTGAAATTAGCTGTTGGCAAGACCATGGTGCCTCCAGAGGCTGTACTCCATGTCTTGATTTGTGGTCATGCTATACCAAGCCAATGTACACTGCTGTGTTCATCCTGTTCTCTGCTCTGTGTGTGTGTGTGTGGCAAATTTCCCCCTTCCTTCCTCTCTGATTTAAAATGCAAAAATAGCCTCAAAGGGAGTAAATTTTGAACATTCATATTGTTCCTGCTTGACATTACAAAAGTTGCAGAAAACAATGGAATATTTTGGTTCTATCTTAGCCATCTTTGGAATCCCTGAAGATAAAGACTGTGTGGGTGGCTTTTCCAAGGGGGCATTAGTCTTGCTTTCACTTCAGTTAGCTGGTCAAATGTGTGTTTGTTTTCAGTTGGAAGCAATTTTCCTTCTTCATTTTCTAATACAGCTCCTAGTACTAGGGTACAATCCTTAGTTGTAAAACAAAATGTTTTTGAAAAACTGGCTGAAAATGACTTGTCCTCCAACTTGAGACATATTACTGTGGCCTGAGGTCAATGAGCTGTGCTGAAGGACAGTGAGACGCCAGCACATAGCTGTACTATGGAATCCTCTGACTTGACATCGGGGAGGAAGTCTCACAGACTGTCATCAGAGGGTGCTCTGTGAAGATCTACCGTAAAGCAGTCCTGCTTGCAGTTGGTACAGAATAGCTATTTTCATGAGCAATGTTGGCCTTACAGGATAATTCTGTTTCTTTGTCCTAACCTCAAGGAAGAATACTTGCTATTACTCCTTGCACAGTTCAGAGCTTATGGCATGAACTTTTATGCACTGACCTTACTCAGGTTTGTACATGTGTGTTGTCCCTCTCCTCTTCTTTTACTTTTCCATTAATAGTACAATAATAAATAATTCCAACACAATGATTGCTTTAGTATATCATTCCAAATTTTTTTGAGACATTTAGGGGGGGATTTTAAATAATGAATATTACATTGAAAATATAAATGAGTGAAAAGTTTTCTTAATCCATACATTTTGGGAGAAAACATGAGCCAATGAAGTTCTGGAAAATACGATGGGAACTAGGACAGAACTGCCTTGGCTCAGTCTTCAGCTATTGAAGTGCACAAGTCAAATCCTCTGAAAATACTAGCTAGAAAAATAACCCTAAAAGACTTGATTATGCTGATGACTCAGTAAATAATACAACTCCCATTTGTTTCAGAAGCAAGAATCGCTTATGTGGCCATTTCTTCCTCTTTTATATGCACTGTTATAGATTCACTGTGCTCCTTGAGGAAAACACTACAATTTCTGCAAAGAGGCAAAATGGGAATACCCCATGGACTGTTTGCAGGTTCATGTCCCCCTGACTTAAATGCTGCTTGGTAACTGAGCTCCTCCTTATCATTCATTAGAAGTACATAAAGTCCTTGCTTTAAAATCGTATCTTTGTTCTTTATCCTCAGAGTCTCCTGTCCACCAGGCATTTTACAGTTTCATATATGACATTTAGTTCAGAGAAAATTGAGGATACCAAATGAAGTTAGAATATGAAACTTCTTGTCTCATTTCTACAATGAAATGCAAATCACCCCATACAAGCAGTTGATCATTTTATTTCATAAGGTTACACATGATAGACTTAGAAGGCATTCCATGTGTTTAAACTTAAGGGCAGTGAATAACAATCTGCCACAACACATATTTGCAACTGGTGAACAGGACAAGCTATACCTTGACTTGTGTAGTGCTAGTTACAAAAGCCTTTATTCCTGATGGTGCTTGCATGATTACAACAACAACAACAGCAAAAGTGTGAAACCCATTCTTTTCCACATCAGTGTCTAATTTGTGTGTGCTTTTTAAAATCATTATTCATTTAGTTGTATATTCTGTGTCTCCTCTTTCTTGGCAGCCAGTGTCTACTTGATTTAAAAAAGCTTAATACAGAAAACCTCATGAGCATTATAGAGGATCTAAATTTAAGTACAAGCAGAGAAAAGAAAAGCCTCCATGAAAAACAAGAAACGACTCATCAACAATGACTAAACACATTACAACAGACATTTTTACAACTGAGTAAAAAAAATAAATACTTCTATATTGTGCCAGTTCATCGTTTTCAAAAACTTCAGTATCTAAGACAGGACAGAAATTTTCAAATTAACTTATAATGAAAGTAAAATATCCAGCCTGAGAAATGAGGATGCATGAGGCTAATACTGACTCAGAGGATGTTAAATTAAACCCATTACATCTAATAACAAGCATCAAAAAGACTGTTGATGAATCTAGTTTTTCCTCTTGCATACAGACTATAAAATTGAAAATATTTTGGGGCCAGTTTTTGGCATAGTGTATTGAGCCACTGCTTGCAAAGATGTCAGCATGATATATCAAAGCCTCGCTGCTCCGCTTCTGTTCCCTCTTCCCGCTAATGTGCCTGGGAAGGCTGTGGAAGCTGCTCCAGGGAGCTGGACCCCTTACTCCCATGTGGGAAACCTATATGGAGTTCCTGGTTCCTGACTCCAGCCAGGCCCAGAGCCAGCTACTGCAGCCATGTGGAGAATGACCGGCAGATGGGAGAGCAATCTCTCCTTCCTTATCGCTTGATACTTTGTCGCATTTCCTCTCAAATAATACACTAATAAATAGATAAAATAGAGGGGAAAAGAAGCATTTAGAGATTACACGCTCCAAATATCAAAGGCTATTTAGATATTTATCACATCATTCAAGCCCACCAAACTTAGGAATTTAAAAATTTGCCTGCATACTCAATATTTATCAAATTTAAAGTCCCGCCTGAGGTAGCCTTGGTAAGATTAGACCAAATGATGCTGCAGACCTATACAGCCAGACATTCCCTACCATGCACAGACGTGTAACTCTAATTAGACTAGTATGATCATTATATATATGCCTTATATGTGGCAAATTATCATACTATATCGCATACACATTTATCATTGTTATTTGGCTATTAAAATAAATTTTTAAAAAGCCACCTGGATCTTCCTTGAAAATGCTGCCTTCTTTCTTTTAATTTCATTTGATCTTTATAAAAATCAAGCAGGGAGTTAGCAGAGTACTTACCATTTTCATTTTTTAACAAAAAATTTAATAGGGACATGGAGGCTGTGAATGACCAAGTGATTTGCCAAAAACCACACATCCAGAAGGAAACAGAGGTAGGCTAACACCGAGGCAGCTGGCCAGAAGATGATGGTTCTGCTTTTCTTTGTCTATGTGATTACCAATCTTATCCACCACATTTACCACACATGGAAATATGCCCTTATAGCCAAAGGGAAATCGACTCCACCTACAAATGTGGCTTTCTTTTGCATTTATTATCATTATCTTTTACTGTACCAAGAGGAATGGCTGGATTTAGTTAACAACATAAAAACACCATACCTTGTGAAACAAGAATATTCACCTACCCTTTTACGGAGTTTTTCTGCAGCGTTGATTTCAGCTTTAATAGTTTTATCAAATTTATTTAAAAGTTTAGGCTTCTTTTTCTTAGCTGAAAGAAAAAAAAAAGAGATGTTTTTGGTTTTTATTGCTTAGAATTACTTTTTAAGAATAATGGTTTACAAGGAGCAAGGAATTCAGCATTGATCTCCAACGTGCAACTGCAGGAGCAGGTGCCCTTGTCTCACATTCTCATTGCTCCTCAGAGAGTATGACAAAGTCATTAGCTGCAAAGGAATATGACACAGCTTTGGTTTTATGCGCCAAAATATTAATGCAAGATTGGGTGGATACTGGTGTCCTGAAATGCTCAGGGATAGTGGCTCAGATTTCTAAATTAAAAACAGTAGGCATGATTTCTGGACTCTTCTTGGCTAAGTCCAAAACACTGCTTAAAATATTTCTTGCATATATTTACAGCTCTATATGGTACAACTGAAAGCTAAAATGGAAAGCTACTCTCAAGAGTGTGAGGTAAAACAGTCTCTTCCTTTAGCAGCTGAGGCTCTTCGGGTGCATCATGCCCTGCCCCACGGAACACTGGACTGACACGTGCATCTCACAGAACCGTGTGGAAGGGTGGCTGTTGTGCACAGCAGGTTACACTGCCACTCATAATGCCAGTATGCTATAAGACCACCAGGTTAAGTACTGGCTATTCCACTTTTCATCCAGCTCCCTGCTTACAGACCATCCAAGCTGCATCATTTGGTCAGCTACATCAGGCAATATGAAGAATTTGAAGAATGGCAATTTGATTCCCTTTACCTACCTACATGTACAATTTTACAATATTGTCATGATCTTGTATTTTGTTTATGCCAACTTATTCTCCTCTCCACCAACTGCTAATTCCTCTATTGTCCACTGAAAACTGTCTCTAAATCAGAGACTGAGCAAGTAGTGAACAGGGTCTTTTCCGACTGCATGACATCACATGTTAGCATATTCGCTGACACAGAAGGTTAACTGACACTGGACTGCGACATGGATTTAAGCTGGTGGGAGCTTATGTCTTGTCATCTTAGCACTGACTTATGTCTCCCAATGGCCTGTTCTGCTTTTATAGAAGAGTCTACATGCAGATCCACAGCAGGAACTCTGGGAAAGCCTAGCATGCACCTGCTTTCCTAAATATGTCAACATGGAGTAGGATCAGAAGTGGATCAGCTAAGACTTGAAGCAGCACCCATACGGGATGCCAGGGCCACAAGCAGCAGCTTCATTTGTCATACTACATTGCTTAAGTTGTACCTTTACCAGTTATTTTCTTGTAGGTGAAAAGCTAGAAATCTTCTGCTTGAATGCTAGGGTCTGGTGCTACACATGTATGCACCTTCTGATTATTAGTATATGGGCTTTCTAGAAGTTGGGAAAGCTGAAGGTATAGACAAGGCCCAGGGACACAGACACTGACTTGCCTTTTCCCCACAGCTGATGATGGGACGTTAACTCATGCTGAGCTCACTTCAAGAATTCAGCAGAGCCCACCGTGCGTACACAGCTGAGGAACATGTACACAGTGACAATGGCTTGTGAGAGAAACCATAAGCAACCCAAGATAAAGAACAAAGAGTATCTTATTGTATAAAGAAGGTCTAGCCCAAAGTTTCTTTTTTTTTTTTTAAAGATTTATTTTTATTATTTTTCATTGGAAAGGCGGATATACAGAGAGGAGAGACAGAGAGGAAGATCTTCCATCCGATGATTCACTCCCCAAGTGAGCGCAACGGGCCGATACTATGCCGATCCGAAGCCAGGAGCCTCTTCCGGTTCTCCCACGCGGGTGCAGGGTCCCAAAGCTTTGGGCCGTCCTCGACTGCCTTCCCGGGCCACAGGCAGGGAGCTGGAAGGGAAGCAGGGCTGCCGGGATTAGAACCGGCGCCCATATGGGATCCCGGGCGTGCAAGGCGAGGACTTAACCACTTGCGCCACCGCGCCGGGCCCGTAGCCCAAAGTTTCAAAGAACAAATATGCAGAGGAGCAGGGAGGAAGATGAGAAAAGGAACAAAATGTTTGAGACAATTCCCACTGGAAAACACTGATATTTCACATGCTTTCATGTAAGTTTTTCAGTACGGTTAGTAGCTTAGGACCCAGTTATAGTTTGTACCCATGATGATAATGTGAAGTTTATCTATCTATCTATGCTATAGGTCAGAATGACAGAATGGGACATTTTCCAGCCATTGGTTCACTCCCTAAATGGCTATAGTGGCCTTGGCTGAGCCACACAGAAGTCAAGAGTCAGGAGCTTCATATGGATCTCCCAAGAGGGTGTCAGGATTCCCCCAAACTAGTGACTCTTCCTGCTTCTTTTCCCAAGCCATTAGCTAGGAGCTTGGTTAGAAGTTCCACATTGGATTCAGGAGGTGACTGCATGCTATACCACAATGTCAAGTTCCCACGCAGGAATTTAATGCTCACAATGAGATACTTACAGTAGAACCAAGAGGGAGGTTAAGCATCTACTTTTAAGTGATTAGGGCTTTGTGTCTATGAATGGTTTAATCCATTATTGGTTAGCTCAAGAGAGCTAGAAAAGCACTCTGCTAGAAAAGTCAAGTTCAAGTTGGGCATTTGGAATAGCAGTTAAACTACCACTTGGGACACTACAACTCATAATGGAATACTGGGTCGGTTCCCGACTCCAGCTCCCTGATACTTTACACATTGGAAGGCAGCAGGTGCCGGATCGTGTAGTTGTGTCATGCTATCCATAAAAGAGCCCTGGACTGAGTTCCCAGCTCCTAACTTCTATCTTATCCAGCCTGACTCTTGTGGGCCTTATGGGACTGATCAGTGGGTGGGAGATTTCTCTGTCTTTATGCCTTTAAAATAAACCTACTGACTGACTTAAATGATTAAAAGCCAGTTTAAATCTTAGTTTCTCACAAGCTCCCTGACTCTCACTATCTGTTGCCCTGTGCTACCCTAGGACTCCATAAGCAACAAGACAATCGCCAGTTGTGGCCCTCTGATCTCGGATCCCAACTGTGAACCAAAATAAATCTTCCTTATTTGTAACTTACCCAGTCTCTGGTATGGTCCTAATGGCAATTGAATATGGACAAAGAGAAATGTAAATGGCAGAGGATTAAGCAGAAGTCACAAACAAATCCTTGGATTGCCAAGTTCAGCTAATATTAAAACAGAAACTTCACAAAGCAGCTCGCTTTCCCACTGAGTTACTGCTTACTGCCTTATCAATTCTTTGCTGACAATAATACGCTGGCATTTACTGAGTATCTACTCTGTTAGGCATGTGTAACTCACCAAGACTTCACACAGAGTAAACAGCAGGAGTCAAGAACTGATCTTGACGTGGTCTCACACAGACTACAAAGCCCACGCTCTTTACCATCTTCCTACGACTTTGGCATCTTTCCCAGACATTAAGAGACTAGGGTGTTTCTGTGAACTTTAAGAGTGATGACAGAGTGGAATTAGGCATTAGTGTAACTATCATGTTGTGGAAAGGAGGTAGCTGAACTTTGTATTACTTGTCTACAAGGACAAAGGTGGCTAACTAACCACAGTAATTTTCCTTCATTTTGTGTCTCTGAGCCCAGCATTTACACATTACACAAGCACACCCAGAATTAGCAGAAACATAACTGAGAAGGAGTCTGGAAGCAGTAAAGTAAACTTTACTCTAACTTTTAAGGTTTCTTCTTAAATTTACTAAGCCCCTATTTGTTCATCCATGAAACAGGCAAACTACCTCTCTCTTCTATGGTTAAAAAAAAAAAAACATGGGCCAGAAAAAAAAAATCTACACACAACTTTTATCCACTTTAAAATTATGTTCTTTTCAGGGGTAGGTATTGTGGTGTAGTGGTTAATCCACTACTGAGGACAATCACATTCTACATTCTAGTGCCTGTTTATGTTCTGGCTAGTCTCTTCCAATTTAGCTAACTGCTAATATGCTTGAAATTACAGATGATGGCTGAGGTGCTTGAGCTTCTGCAGTTTATGTGGAAGATGAGGATGGACTTTCTGGTTCCTTGTTGCAGTCTGGACAATTCCAGGTGTTGGGGAATTTAGGGATTAAATAACAGATGGAAGGTATCTCTCTCTCTTTTTCTCATCATTGTGTCTCTCAAATAAATGAATCTTTAAGTATTCTGTTTTTAGAGAGGGAAATGTATGCAATTTATTAGTAAATGTTTGAGGAATTATTTGTTTTGTTTTTAAAGAAAAAACAATTTCAGAATTGCCTTAATGTCAAATATCCCCAGCAGAAATTTTGGACAACTTAATTTCACTGCATTATAAGTAATTTAGTGATTAGATTATTATGCCATTAAAGAATTCAAGATTTACTAGATTACTTTAATATCATATTGGAACTAATTAAGTTAATATATCTATTCATATTTCCTGAGTCAATAAGGGCCTGAAAGCCATGGGGCATTTTCCTGCCCTTCGCTCCACAGACCCTACTACAAGTTATACATCACTTATTCAAAAATCTGAAATACTACAAAATAAAAAACCTTTTGAATACATACCCCTGGATATCACAAGTCTCAGGGCCGCACTACAGTCTTTGTTTCATGCACAACATTATTGGAAATATTGTAGTATGAAACATAAATGAATTTTATATTCAGAATCTGTTTCCATCTCAAGATCTCATCCCTGGTTAACATATATAAGCATTTTCAAATATGAAGAACTTCAAAATTTGAAATGTCATTGGTCCCAACCAATTCATATAAGGGAAACCCAATACATACAACATATATGATAGTAGTAAAATATTGCAAAATCTGATGACAAGTAATCTAAAAATTATCTTAGGGAAGGAAAGTAAGACCAAAGTAAGATATTGAAGGAAAAATGTATTCTGTTAGATGTCTTCAAAGAATTCATGGAAAATGTGTATCATGCAAAAAAAAAAAAAAAAAAAAAACCTACATGGATTTCAAATCAAATTTTTGCAGAAAATTCATGTTCTTTTAGTTTATTTTCTCATAAACTTTTTGAAGCACCTTTCTATCTCTGAGATATAATCTAAAATTTCAAAGCAGTCATAAAAAACAA